AAGTAGATTTTTCTCCTTAGGTGCAGGGAAAGAAGGTTGGATTTGAGTTCAGCAATGCGATTTGGGCAGGATCCTCAAAGCCTGCTGATGATTTTAGCAGCACTTGCTTGGATTCTGTCTATTTTGGATAGGTTAGTTTTACTTGCACTGATCCAGGCTGGTGTAGCATATTCCAAAATAGGTTTTACGAGTGCAAGGTACGTTGTGCGTAAGATATTGGCATTCGCACCCCAGTTTAAGCCTGATATTTTTCAGAATTTTGAGCCTATTTTTTGCTTTACTTATCATGGTTTCAATATGTTTTTTTAAAAGTGAGTGCACGTTCGAGTGTGACACCAATATATCTTGGGAAATCTGAATATTGGAGTTTAGAGTTATTTAAGTAAATATTTGGGGTCCAGTGGCGAAGGTGGTTGTTGATGGTGAAGAGGCCGATTTCAGATTTGCTGATGTTAAAGGATAATTTCAGTTTCTGAGTTACCTTTTGCAGATTTTTCATGGCTTTATTCAGAGAGTGTTTTGCATCGGAGTGGTTGTTTTTGGAGACCCATATGATTATGTCGTAAAGGGCAATTTAAGCTGGTGGTTTGATAAAAGTGTGTACATCATTTAGGTAAATATTGAAGAGAATAAGGCTTAGGATTGATCCTTGAGGTAAACCTTGGTAAATATGAGTGGTTTTTGATTTGATGTTGTTGAAGTTAACCTGTATGGTGTGTTTGGATTGAAAATTGCTGATCCAACTCAGGATACTTCCCTTTATTCCAAGTTCATCGAGTTTGAGAATTCGCTTTTCCTTCCAGACTCTGTCAAAGGCTTGGGAAAGGTCGATGAAGGCTGCTATAGTATATTTTGTAGGTTTATGATGGGAGCTGTCCTGGATTTGTTGAAGGAAGTAAAAGATTGAATCTTCTGTGCTTTGATTTTTTAAAAGTTCGTTGATGAGGGTCTAGTAGGTTGTTGAGGTTATGATAAAAAAGTTAACCTATTGAGAATCATTTAAATAAAAAGGCATATATTGAATCAGAATATAATTTATTTTACCAATACAGTCTAACCTCTTTAAACCAACACCCCAAGGGATCGGAGCTTTCGGTTGAATTAAAGGAAGTGTTTAATTAAGGTTAGATGATTAGCTAATCATCTAACTTGCTAAAATAATATTTTTTAAAATTGCTTTGTAATATAAATTGATTATATTAATTGAAACCATTGTGTGTGTCCTTTTTTGTATTATTTTTTATTTTCATGATTAACTTTAGTATCAGGGACAAAATGGCATTAATACATATTTTAGAAACATAAATAATTGTAACAAATAAATTTACTGGTAATGTGTTTCTTTTCAGTAATACAGTAGAACTCCTCAAATTCGGAAATTCTCAAATTCGGAAACTCCCAAATTCGGAAAGTATTGTAATGTTTTTTTTACATACAAAAAATCAATTTTCACATGCTTTTATTTTGTTGATATTTCAACATTATTTTATTTTATTTTATTAACTTTTACTTTTGCTTTGCTTTTATTTTATTTAATTTATTTTTTATTAGTAATTTATTTTTAATTTAAGTGTTTAATTAATTTACTTTTACCGATTATTTATAATCGCTAATTAGGGGTTTATCCCCTTTTTTAAAAGCTTAAATAAATCAACAGTTTCATTTGACCTTTGTGCTTAGTTTAGGATATTGTCCAATAAGAAGGCAGCATTATTACGTCATAAGCCATTCACGCATTTTTTATTGCAAAGTTGATTCACCTAAAGTTCAAATTATCAAACATTTTCAGACATTGTAAGTTTCAAATGCTTTTATTCAACTCTCAATTTTTTTGCATTTACAAGTTTGTTCTTCAACAAAATGGCATCCAAAGAGGAGCGGCAAAAACGAGGCAAGTACCGAATTCTTAAGCTTGGTGAAAAGTTAGATGTTCTTAGTGACATTAAAAAAGGATTAAGCTATCCAACGATAATGCAAAAGTATAAAATTTCTAAGACAACTGTTTATGATATAAAAAAGTCTGAGCTTAAACTTACAAAGTTTGTTGATTCTACCGAAAAAGATGTCAAAAAGTTTTCTCAAGTAAAAAATTCGTTATACGAAAATGTTGATAAAGCAGTTAACAGACATTTGGAGCCGGATGTTCCCAGATGCGAAGCGTTGAAAAGTTTGGATGTTGCATTAAAATATTTGGAAAAGCGCACTGAACCAGAAATGCTTGCAAGCTACAACACCATCAATAGTCTTCGAACTATGCTTATGAGAGAAGAAGAAGCTTTGTTAAACAAGCCAAAGAAACAGACAACAATCAGCAACTTCTTTGTCAAGCCATAACTTACTTGGCCATCAAAATTTGCGTTTATTGGACTGCATATGTACATAATTGGTTTTTATAGACAAGAATGCAGGTGTGTGTTTATGTTACTTTAATACAAATTTATCTATGTAACACGCATTACATACATAATAAAATATTTTACATTTTTCATCGGTTTCATGCTCAAAACTCATAAAAGTCAAGGAACATTTGATTAAAAATCGTAATTAAAATTATGTAATGTACATATAATATTCAACCTAAAATTGTTCATATGCTTCAAAATCTTTGTCTCAGTCATCTAAATGCCTATTTATGCCACATAAATATTCACAAATCTAACTCTCTCAAATTCGGAAAATCCTCAAATTCGGAATACCTTGCGCCCCAAGCTTTCCGAATTTGAGGAGTTCTACTGTATATTCAAATATTAACTCTACAGTAATTAAAATATTAAATACAATATAACAAAAAATTTTTTATTCTAATTGAAAAATATAACAGTTGAAAGGAAATAAATTTGGTAAATTAAAAGAAAATTTAAAAATATTATTTGAAAATAATCATGAAGATCTTTTAAAAAATTCCTTTATAGATGTCTGTTTTTGCACTGAAATCCTATTCAGGATGTATTCCAGATGGTAATTTTGAAAAAACATGCATGCCTTTCTTCCTCTGAAATGTCTTTTAATAAATAAATTTTAATGTATTAAAGTCATCCACTGCTGCTGCAGGTATTATTGATTTTGTATTTAAATCTTTTATAATAACACAGAAATGGAATATTCAAATAAAATGTTATCATAATCATTGTGGCTACATTTTATAAAGATTTATTTATTTAAAAGGAACCAAAAGTGCGCGCGCGCGATCCTATCAGCGCCCACCAGTCGCCGCCGTAATACCTTTTTAGCGGAAAGTTGTAAGTAAAAAACATTCAACTGTCAAAATTTGAATTTTAAAATGGTCGAACTATCTGAAGTGTCGTATTATCAATATGTCGAATTACGGTTTGTTATTTGATAGGCCGGAGGTCGGGACATCAGAACATGGTCGAATTATCGCCGAGTATCGAATTGGGATGTGTCGAATTAACGAGGTTATACTGTATATATATATGGTAATTTAAACCAACAACCCCATATTGTATATAACTTATAACAAGATTTTCATGTTGTATAATAGAAACACATCTGTAAATGATTATACGCATGATTGACATGTGGCATTACATCATCATTTGTAATGTACTTTGTACAAACTGAGGATAAATAAATACAACTCTGTAATAGATTAAGAGTTGAGCTAAATCAGAGATCGAGCATATAGCATTCCCAAAACAACAAGGTCTAAATATGGAAACTGCCACGGCGCCAGTGTCCAATTTCGCCAGGCGATCCATGCTCTTCGCATCTGTTGAAATGCAATACTCACTTCTCGGAAAAGATATATAAGGCCCCCATCTTAACCTATAAATCCAGTCATTTGACAGGCAGTTCACCATCTATGTGAGCCCTCGTCGGTTGTACCCCAGGTCCACCTCATCCACCATGTAGACAAATAAGAACTCTTCTATCTCCATCTTTCGCTCCTAGCTCAACTTTTATCTGTTCACGGAACTTTCTTAGTGCAACTGTGTCTTCGTTTTTTGTGTATGGACATTCCCAAGCTCACAACTCTGCCTCGACCACGACTCCCTGTACTTTGTGAGAACTGTTAAAGGTCTTACAAGGTGTAGAGAGGTACTGGAAAACTCTCCACATAATGACTGTTCCTCTCTGTTAACACAGTGTAGTGAGAGTCAAAAGGATAACACACCACAGTTTGAGGTGACTGGATACCTCATCACAGATTTAGTCGACAAGATTCTACAAGAGTCAACAAGACTTTCATCATATTCTATATACAGTTACGAGCGTCATGCGTTCTTAATTCTTCAGTTTTCATCTCTGTCACCGTTTGCTTCTTTTTTGGAATGGCGCTCTCCTATTGGTTGGCTACGATCACGCCACCTTTGCCCCCCCCATCGCTTCTTCGTTTTTGTAACTATTGTGTTGGAGCGGGTCGCTCCTTAAATAAATGCATATATTAGTTAATAACTAAATGGAATCCTCTCTTTCCTTTTCCCAGTAAGAGACGCCTATGGAAGCCAACAGTACATAGACAGATAAAGCACATAGGCTATAGTCATTAACTAATATGTGCATTTATTTAAGGCGCCAATTTATAATTGTAACAAATAGTATTTGAATAAAAACATTCAATCGGATAAAACACGGGCGTTGCCCGGGTTATTCGACTAGTATATATATATATATATAAGCCATCAGCAACTTTCAGTTGCACGATAAGGAGATGCCGTTTTCTTAATTTATATATATATATATGTTATAAATAGAAAAGAGATTTTCTGCTTGAATTTTAGATCTTGTTGAAGATTATGGTATGGAAATGCAGTAGTGGTTGAAATAATAATCTTGAAAATATAAAGTCTTGATCATAGATTTACTTATTTGAGCTAAGGAATATATATGAAAAACATAATTTGATAAAAGTAATGCCTGGCTTAAGGCGAGTAGAATAAAGAAAATAAAAGATTATTTACATAATGTACAAAAGTTTTGAGCCGGCCATTGGGATAAAACAACAACGAGTTTTTATAGGGGAAGAGTGACCTCTGGCGGTCGATTTAGCAGAGTATTTGAATCTAAGGCTAGTTAAACCGTTTGGTTTTCGACCACTAGGACCCGGGTTCGATTCCCGCATTGGACACTTTTTTCTGTTTAAAAAAAAAAAATGCTCCAATGGCCCCCGATTCTTGCAAAAGTCCAACCCCACCAGCGAGTGCAAGTAACCAAACGGGGCGCTGGCATTTGTAAGTGCAAAGTCGAACTGCTTTTCACATGTGTCGACATGTGGTGCGCTTACAGTAAAAGCAGTCGCTAACTACCCACCATGATTATCATGGCCTGTACCACCATGATTATCATGGCCTGTGTACTAGGGATAAGCAAAAAAAAAATAATTTAAAATATTATTTATATATATTATATTTAAAATTAAAAAAAGATAAGATTTCTGTTGTTTTGGATCATATTGATGATCATGCTATGGTGGTGCAGTCATGGTCGAACAATAATCTTGAAAAATATAATGTCTTGATTAGTGATTTCTTTATTGAGCTGAGGAATGAATACAGATGAAAAACATAATTTTGTACAAGTACCGCCTGGCTTAAGGCATAAAAATAATTAAAACAAAATATTATTTACATAATTACAAACATGTTTGAGCCGACCCCACGGGGAAGAACAACAATGAGTTTTTATATGCAAAGTATGACCTCTGGCGGTCGATTTAACAGAATATTTAAAAAAAAACAATATCTTAATATAACATATATATATATGGGGTAATTTAAACCAACAACCCTATATTGTATAATACTTATAACAAGATTGTCATGTTGTATATAGAAACACATCTATAAATAATTATACGCATGATTGACATGTGTCATTGCATCACCATATGTAATGTACTTTGTAAAGACTGAGGATGAATAAATAAAACTATGTAATAGATTAAGAGCTGAGCTAAGCAAGAGATCGAGATAGAAATCCAACAACCCTAAAGAGGAATTTGGCAGGTCGTTCCATCAAGGCCATTGGATGTAGCAAATACCGCAGACACCCCACGCACTTTGTACCCATTCAAAAAGATAACTTAATGTCTTCTAAAAAAGTAGCAACTAACTTGATGTGGTTGGTAACAGGGAATTAAAGTTACTCTCGGCCTTTACATTTATTCAACTTAAGAGATGTACCATTCCCTACATCCCCTGTGCACAAACAAACAAACACTTATCAGGTGTCCCCTCTGTGTTGACCAGTAGAGTTTGAAGACTTTGCTTGCTTGGAATAAGCAACAGCAACATTTAATTTGAGAGATGTACCCAAAAAAAAAAAAATGGCCCCCCGATTCTTGCAAAAGTCCAACCCCACCAGCGAGTGCAAGTAACCAAACGGGGCTCTGGCACATTTGTAAGTGCAAAGTCGAACTGCTTTCACATGTGTAGACATGTGGTGCGCTTACAGTAAAAAAGCAGTCGTTAACTACCCACCATGATTATCATGGCCTGTACCACATGTACTAGGGATAAGCAAAAAAAAACCCTTCCCTACATCCTGTGCACAAACAATCATCAGGTTTCCAATCTGTGCTGACCTGTAGAATTTGAAGACTGCTTGATTGGAATAAGCAACAGCAACATTTAATTTGAGAGATGTACCATTCCCTACATCCTGTATGCAAAAAGATTACTCATCAGGTTTTCAATCTGTGATGTCCTGTAGAGTTTGAAGACATCGTGGTGAGCCTCTCCTTTCTACTCCAGAGGAATCCTGCGGCCCAGGTCTGGTGCACCTACCAGGAGAGGTGGTGAGTTCACTGACTCCATCTCACTCATCATTAACTCTCAATCTTAGCTACAATAAAATAAGACCTATTCCAAATATATTAATAGTGTGTCATTTAAGTAACAGCGTTGTTACCATCATCAGACAAAATAATAAAATGGATTTTATTTATAAAACAGATTTTATTCTTTTGTCTGATGATGGTAACAATGCTGTTACCAAAATGGCACACACTTTTAATTTATTTGGATTAGGTCTTATTATCTTGTATCTATAATATATAATCCAAATTGTGCTTTATCAACTCTTAATTTTATTTTTCACCTACCATTGACTTTATTTTGGGGCAATAAAATATTTTGAAGCCCAAAAAAATTCTTGCACAAAAATTAATAGATCTGGATACTAATTAAAAGCACAAAGTAATAAGACCAAATACAAATAAATAAATGGTGTGCAACATTTTGGTAACAGCAGTGTTACACTGAAATGTCACACATTATTTATTTATTTAGATTTGTCTTATTACCTTGTGTTTCTACTCAATAATCCAAATTGTACCTAATGGATACTAATTAAGAAGTTACTCGTGTTTTTGTAGAAGTATTAATGTAATTTTTAATAAACTTTAATATGCTCAACTTCTCAAAGTAACAGTAGTCCCAATTGAATGAATTTTGTTAATATATATAAAAAATTGTATTATAGGTTAAAAACACCATGTATTAACACCAAATGCAAATGAATAAATGGTGTGTGATGTTTTGGTAGCAGCATTGTTACCATCATCAGACAAAATTATGGTAACAATGCTGTTACCGAAACAGCACACACTATTTATTTGGATTTGGTCTTTTTACTTTGAGTAATTGAAGTTTGTATTCAATGCAAATTTATGAGATAAAGAAAACCTATTGCCTCCAGTAAGTATCTCAACTTGGAGTAGGTAAATGTTTGCTCCAACTAAAGAGTAATAGATTTTTTTATTGTTTTGGTGAGATCCTCATTTCTGTGACCACTGTGAAAACATGCCGCAAATATATTAATATGCAAGGTTAGGTTAGGTTAGTTTAGGTTGTTTTAAAACTAGAGCTTTGTTTCTGCTAGTAGGCCTAGCACAGAATAGTTCAATCACCTAGGTTCTGCAGAAATTAGAATTTCAGTTTTTTTTTTTCAAAAAAATATATTTTGAGAAAATTGAAAAATAAAAAAGTAACTTATCTGGAATCGAACCCAGGCTGTTTACCTTTTAGGCTTGAATTCAAACCATTGTACCATGGAGAGCTTTGTACAAGAAACTCTATAGCCTTTATAAGAAGACATAGTGCACCAACTGCATATGAAAATTAACACTGTTTTTGATTAGAATTTACATTTATTAAAAAAAAAAAAAAATTCGAATTAATTTTTTGTATAAAAAATTGTCCTCCCACCATTTTGATTGTGTAAAATTTAGTAGAAAAGTTGCTTCATTTAAAAAGAAAAAGCATGATAAAAGAATAGGTTCATATATTATAATTTTTATAACCATTTTTTAATTTACAGCTTCTCTCAATTATAATTGTATTCATTTCAAGGCTATAATCCAAGGTATAAGGATATGGTACAATTTGCATTGTAGATTAGAAACATAAGGGAACAAGACTACATCCAAATTAATGAAATATTTGTAATGTTTTGGTAACAGCACAAACATTTCATTAATTTGAATGTGGTCTTGTTACCTCTTCTTGTTATCTATTAAATAAATTAATGAGGCAAGATAAAATTTATAAAAGCTACTCAACTCATAGTTTAGTTGTGAAAACTGCCAGGTGTGACCCTATTCACTTGGAAAATATTACTTTTTAATTTTGATAAACCTTTCCAGAAAGATATGCTGTGTTATAGCTAACCCCATATCTGAATTGGCCAAGTAAATCCTGAGTTTTCAGCAGACAAACAGTGCTTATTTTGAATCACAATCTATGAGCTAACACTTTCTTAAAATTAGATTTTTAAAAAATTGTTAGTTAATCTTTTATGTTATAATCCTAATATTTTATTATAACTTTTTATAATGGTAGTTCATTATTAAAAAAAAAAAAAAAAAAACAGAGTTCTCATTATAACAATGATATTTTTCAATGGAGCAGTTTACTTTAGCAAGGTTTGTGTAGCTAGAAACCTCCTCAATGGAATTCACACATTACTCATTCAAATACTTGGTCACTCTTGTGTGAACTGACGGAAATGCTTCATAACACAGAAGTCCCTTCATCAGCCCAGTTGGTTGGGCCATCAACTTGAACATTATCCACATTTCCTTTCCTTCTACAACCCACAATGTCAGGAATATTTTAAACCATCACAGTCAAATAATAATGATGGACACCTCAATCTTATCCTTCCATTCATGTTACATACCTCTACTTTATAAATAGATATTTGTGGTATTTATAATGTGCAATTCAAAGATTCTGACTGGAGTGCAGCAGTGAGTGGAGCCTGGAAGAGCTATTCCAGCGGTGGAACCTCCGCTTCAGTGTGGTGGGGCTGGAACAGTTTGGAGCAGAGGGACCCAGTGTGGCCGGATCTAACCTGCCAGGGCATCACTCCATCCAGCTTTGGGTCATCACTTACCAACTTGCTGTTCCCTGTGAGATAGCTTTGTAAATAAACACAAGGTCTTAAGACCAAATCCAAATAAATAAATAGTGTATGATGTAGCAGCGTTGTTACCGAAACATCATACACTATTTATTTGGATTTGGCCTTATTACCATGTATTTGTAATCTATAATCCAAATTGTGCCTTATCCTTTGTAAATAAAGATGGATTCAAACTATTAATTGGTTGGAACATTAGTTTCCCACACTTTGTGGGCCACCACCCTCTTTGTTGTGAAATAAATTTTGTAACCCTCCCTCTCATTAAAACAGCTTTTTTTGCTTTCAAGCAGTTTACATTGTAAATAGAAACTAATTAACGTTTCTTCCCCTAAATTAATGACAAAGTAGTGTGTATCTTGAAAACAGCCTTTGCTATACCCATTATTATATTTATAAATAAAATATTAAAATGCAGTCGTGGACCAACAGCAGTATTGTTAGAAAGAGGAGAAAGACCTCTTTAAAAATCCTGACTTCAACTGACCCGGTTGATAGACCTCAGCAAGGGTTCCTCTCCAGGGATACGGAGGAGCTGCGTCTGTACTCATGTGAGAGTTGGCATCAAAGGATTCTGCTTCCATGTTAGGGACGGCCTCAAACTACAGGCAAAGTCAGACTTTCACCAAAGTGTGCCTGGATCATGGTGCCATGATCAACGAATGCTGCACCCCTACACCCCATTCCATGAGATCAGATGTTGAT